TGAGGGAAATTGAGCATGAATGACACCTGATGTTGACTGTACCCTGGTACTATGAAAATAGGCATTGTTAAATTCCCTACAAAAAACACACAATAAGTTTAATAAGTTTGGTATACACACACCATAAGTTTAAAAAGTTTTGGTAAACTTACTCAAGATATGGTTTAACTTCAACGCAGTTGATCAAGACATGGACATGTGCAGATTGCATTTCTTTTTAGGTCAACCAATGCACACCCTTCTTTCCAGAAGGTCGACCTGGAAGCGCAAAGACTGATAAGGTGAATTGACTCCTCTGATTGACATTTACAGGATTCCGTATGATTCTAGGAGTTAACATCAAGTGATTGAAATAGTGACTGCAAAAATGTGATGTTTCCCGATGCAAGTAATGTGCACATATAGATCCTTCTACTCTAGCTTTATTTTTTACCGATCTCTTTGAATCACCCATGAACCTTTCAAACGGATACATCCACCTATATTGAACAGGTCCACCAAGATAAGCTTCATATGCAAGATGCACAGGTAAATGTTCCATGGAGTCAAAGAAACCAGGCGGAAATACTTGTTCCAACTTACAAATAATGAGTGCAATGTTTTGGTCCAACTTAATGATGTCTTCCACTTTTAAAGCTGACGCACAAATATCTCTAAAAAATTGACTAATTTCAGTTAGTGGGTCAAGAACATGTTTGGGTAGCGATCCAAATGCAATTGGTAGCAACTGTTCCATAAAAATGTGACAATCATGACTTTTCATACCATGTAATTTTCCAGTGTTAGGGTCAGCACACCTTGCTAAATTTGATGAATACCCATCGGGCATTCTCAATTCTTTTAACCATCGACAAACCGCTTTAGCTTCTTGGGAAGTCAGACTGAAACAAGCCTTGGGTTTTAATAATTTTCCATTCGGTTGAGGCTTCAACTCCAACTCTCTTCGATTACACCAAATTCCCATGTCTTGTCTGGCCTTCTCATTATCTTTTGTTTTTCCTGTCACATCCATCACTGTGTTAAATACATTATCAAAAAAATTCTTCTCAATATGCATAACATCAAGATTATGGCGCAACAAATTATCTTTCCAATACGGAAGATCCCAAAATATACTTCTTTTTGTCCAATTGTGGGTGACTCCGTATCCTTCAATTCGGCATGCTTTGCCAGTATCTGTAAATTTTGGTAGTTCACATACTTGGTTCCATATAACCCCTGGTGGCAATCGAGGCGGAGGCAAATCTTTCTCTCGTACATCTTTTTTAAAATTTGTCTTGTTTCTTCTATATGGATGATTTGCTGGTAGGAATTTGCGGTGACAGTCAAACCATGAGCTTTTCCCACCTTTATCCAACGTAAATGCTTTGGTGTATCCCATGCAATGAGGACAACCCATTTTTCCATGCGTACCCCAACCAGACAACATGCCATACGCTGGAAAGTCATTAACAGTCCACATCAAGGCAGCTCGTAATGTGAAGTTCTGTTTACGGGATATATCATAAGTCCATTCTCCAATCCACATCTTCTTCAAATCATCAATTAAAGGTTGTAAGTACACATCAATTCCGGCTTTTGGACTGTGCGGGCCTGGAATAACACACGTCAAAAACATGTATGGTTTTGTCATGCACATCTCAGGAGGGAGGTTGTAAGGTGTTACAATAACTGGCCAACAAGAATACGCACTTCCTGACGCTTGCACGTATGGGGCAAATCCATCAGAGCATAATCCAAGCCTGACATTTCTAGGTTCTGCAGCAAAATCTGGATGTGTCCGATCAAAGTGCTTCCATGCCTCACCATCAGATGGATGTCGCATAGTGCCAGAACTTGTTTGGTTTGTATGATGCCATGTCATTTGACTTGCACTGTGCATTGAAGCAAACATTCTTTTTAACCTTGGTATTATAGGAAGATAAAACATGGATTTTACTGCTACACGCTTTTGCTTGCTGTTAACGGCTCTACTGCGAACTTGATATCTTGGACTATTACAAAACTTACACTCCTCTAACGATCCATCTTGAGTACCAAACTCATTTTCATAAAACAACATGCAACCGTTAATGCAACAGTCAATCTTTCTTACTTTTAAACCCAACTTCGACACCCACTTCTTTACATCATAATAACTTGTAGGCAAGTTGTCTTTCGTAGCGGTGGAGTCCAACATCATTTTTGCAAAATGTTCCAGACATTGATCAGAAACATTCCAATTTGACTTGGCGGCCAATAATCTCACACACATTGATAGCTTCGAGTCTGACGACCCCTCAAACAACGGCGTATTCATCTCGTTCAATAATTGATAAAATCTTTGCGCTTCCTCATTCGGCAACTCTTCCCCGTCAAAATCTTCAGGTTTATCATATGTCACGTTCACACCAAAAACATCCTCAACCATGTCACCGATCAAATTAAAGTTCTCCTCATACTCCATAACCGGTCGACTACTTGAAGCATGCGTGTTGCTAGTCTCTGGTACATTAACCGGTAGTTCTTCACCATTATACGTTCAAACCCAATAATTTTCAATGAATCCCCTTCTATGCAGATGACGTGTTACTTCCTCTGGGTCACTAATTATTGGTCTACATTCACATTTAAGACATGGACACCTAACCCCTCCTTCGCTTCGACAACAATCCTGAGCAAACGCCCACTTAATAAACCCATCAACTCCTACTATAAAATTGGGTTTAAGTCCACTTCTTCCTGGATATGTTCTATCGTACATCCAACTGCGATAATACCTATAATATTCCATACTGCACATTTATACAATCATTGTCTTTTTCATTAGAAATATTAATCAACTTAATAATATTATTCTTAAACTATTTAATACTATTCTTAAAAATATAAATTTTGCTTTTTTATATATATACTAACATATAAATAAATATTCAAATGTAAAATATATAATTTTTTATTACATAACAATAATATCAAAAAACAATAATATACCATATTTACTTTTTATTATATATACAACAATAATATTAGAAAACAAATAATGTAACATATATACTTTTTATTATATATATAACAATAATATTAAAATAATAATATAATATATATATTCTTTTTTTAATTATGTTTTTTATAAATTCTTATTTTAATATATAATTTTTTTTTCATATCTTTAACATATAAATAAAAAAATAAAACTATTATAATAAATATAATATACATTTTTGTTTTTAAATATGTTATTAAATTTATGTGTTAACATATATATATACATCTATAAAAAATAAGACTTTTAATTTTATGTTTTCTAAAATTTTTTATTACCAGTACATATATATACTACTAACAAAATACATATACTTCCTAACCACAAAATACATATACCACTAATCTATATAATACATATAAAATCTAAAAAAAAAATGCATAAATACCTCTATATAATTTCTTCAATAAATTTGGTTCTTCTTGGCTCTTGGTGTTCTTCTTCAAATTTCTCTACAAATAATGAACAAATGAACAAATACCCTTTTTAATATTTCTTTCCAGTATAATAAATAATGAACAAACGAAATAAACATTTATCAAAGTATGAATACCTTATTTTTCTTCAACAATTTGGGATGGAGGAAATTTGATTCGAGAATTTGGGTTTGAGAGGAAGAAGAATGGGTTTGAGAGGAAGAGAAAGGAAGAGGAAAGGAAGAAGAAAGCAAAACAACGCTGCTATAACGGATGAAAATTTTGGAGATGTAAAGTCAAGTAGCGACGTGACTGTCACGTCGCAACATTGTCACGTGATAATCACGTCGCTACACACTAAACAGAAAAATTATTCTCTCTCCCACTCTGCAACCCTGTCATCAACCAAATTTATTTTCCCCCCTTTAATATAGCGACGTGGCTATCACGTCGCTACCAAAATTCAAATTTCCCCCTTCTGTAGCGACGTGTAAGACACGTCGCTGATGTTTTCACTTTACAACGTTCTCTGATTTGCATTATTTGTCATTAAAATATATTAGCGACGTGGTTATCACGTCGCTACTACTCACGTGATAATCACGTCGCTAATATATGTTGCTGGGGACATATATTCTTGTAGTGACGTCTTAAGTCATCACTCCTCTACCCAGAAGCAACGACTTGGGGGGCTCCTGTTCTGGATTGGTCCAATAGCTAGAATTAGCCTAATCTGCTTCTACCCTCAGCTTGACCCAACAAACGTTGACCCATTAACTCTGATCTTCAGTCGAGCACGCTTGGTCGACCACACCGCGAGAATGTCGAGGATAACGCTGCCCTAATCATACATTTTCCCGCATCGACGTCCACCTTCAGCTATGCTCGTTACGCGTCGAGCAGACAACCAGGAAGACACTCACAACGCGTCTGCCCGTCATCTCATCCTTGCTCAGAGCAACGAGTAGTTACAGGCATGACTTTCCGTTTTGACCAGGTCCTGACAGTTACCTATTTTTGAAGAACCTAATATCTAGGCCCAAAAATAGGAACCAGTGACTATGCACCAGGGGCATTATATAAACACTCACACGTGTGAGGGCCAGATATTCAATATTCACTATAAAACCTTAATATCTTTCTTGTACCTCTTTTCACACTTTCTCACTAGATCGTCGGAGTGCCTTGCAGGTACATCTCCTGCTCTCCTCACATTTTCAGTCAAGCTAACGTCATCATAGAGAATGAAAATTGTTAAACTACCATTGTAGATAGAAACACAAAAAGAATAAAAAACGTATAACTGCATAAAAAATGACTGAGGTGTGTGAGAAACTTCAGCAAATATATAATATTAAAAATCATTTGATAAAAAAAACTCAATTATTATCATGAAAGTCGATAAAGGATTAGTGTCAGTTGATAAAAAAGATAATATAGTAAAATGACAAGAAAAAATAAAAGAAAGAATTAAGTGATTGGAGTTTTTTTTTAAAAGACAAATATAATAATAAAGGAAAAGGGCACTAATAACCAAAAGATACAGAGACAACACGAAAATGGTACAAGGAGTGCCAAACCAAGTCAAACACAAAAACAACAGCAACCAACAAATACAACCAAGCGAGCGAGGCAAAAACCAACAACACAAAAAGGCTAACCAGAAGAGAACCGGCAGAGAAACTAGAATCCAGATAGAGCTTGATCCCTCTGGCTACGGACACTTGCAAAACAAAAACTCACAAAAAAACCAGCATGAACACATCCTAAGGGAGGTCGAAGCTAAGCCACTTATCCTGCTATTAGCTAAGAAACATGATAGGATTCTCAAGTCAGACTGAGAAGGTACATGGGTTTCCCACATACCAGTCATGAATCCAATTTCAAACCAAAACAATATTCATATCTTCCACGTCTTTACTGCCACCGAAGAACCACAGAAAATTATGTCATTCCTGAGTTTTCAAATTGTCTCTGGCGCTAAGTATAATCATCTCTTCATGAGAACAACATGGCTCTAATACCATGTTGAAAAATATGGTTGCCATATATAAAAAGGAAATAAAATTAGAAATGATTGAATTGTTTTGTATTGATTGGAACATAAGATGTCTATTACAATGAATACATGATATACTTTATATAATGATAATGAACAACTAATAAATATTAACTAACTTGTAAATAAACTAACTAACTAATAACTATATATATAATCAAATTTTTTTTAATAATCAAATATAACAATTAACACAAATAACTTTAACATTGATCATATTTAATCATATTTAAAAAAGAAAAAAGAGTATAATTAAAATGACACTAGTAACTATGCTCATGGTAATCTAATATAAATCTATGTTCATATTTCTTACTTTTCTGCCTGTGTTCACTATGTTTTCTTTCCACATTATACTTAAGTGCTAATTATGTTTTTATTTTTTTATATGAAATTTTCAAATTTTATATTTTGCCTGCAATTTTCAGTTCCTACAAAATTATCCAGCAAACAATTCTCTCTTGTTGTAAAATCAATATGTGTTTAAATACTATTTTGCATTTATTTTAGAACATTATAAAAATTTGTTCATGTAAGCAGTGCATGACTTTAAGCTATGAGTGACCCAATATATTAAATTATTTCAGGATCAATGCTGTATATATTATGATGCAGTTAATAACACCTTCTTTTTTCTTTCTCCACAGCATCTATAAAATAGATAATGACATATATGCTTTCCATCTATCATGTCACTAGCTCAAACTAAAACAAGTAAAAAGAGTTTGAAGATAGCATTTAATTTTCTAACTAACATGTCATTTTCCTAATCACCAATAGTATCAAATGTTTCTATTATATGGTATTCATGTGCAGCTGTCACCTACCTTATACACCAGAAGCAAGTATTCGACAAATAGAAAAATTCGCAAGAGAGTAAAAAATAAAGCTACTTGAAATTGTTGTTGAGTTAAGAGATGCTCTTTCTTATTCATGCTTTGATGATGTGTATCAACTAATGCATTTCCTATCTAGCCATGCAAATGGTCCCCTCTTTTACACATGTACCTACCATTTTCCTTTGGCTCATATCATATATACAAACAAATATCATTTAAAACAAATATCATTGCGGTTATTTTTTAAAATTTTGTGAAAAAAGAAAAGGGAAACTATAGTATAAACAATGAAACAACTAAAATTGAATCATAATAAACTCACCCTAACCCTAAACATCCCACCCAACATTGTGAACACCTTGATGAGCTTATCAAGCTCTCTTTGAACCCTCATCTACCTAAATATCTTATTCCACAATAAAACCACCACATCACAAAAATACAAACAAGTGCAATGCCAAATTTATAGGGCCACTACTCAAACCATATGAAACATCTACTAGGTCAAGGAAAACACCTCCCTTAACCAAATTTACTCTCAAAGAAAACTTATTTAAAAAGAATGATAAAAAAAAATCACTTTAAAAGGAGCCAAATCAAATGATATCTTCACCAAAAACAAAAACGACCTTAAATTCGAATTAAACCCATGAAGAATCTTATAAAAAGAAGAAAAAAATATTTAAAATCTTATAAAATAAGTGATGTATAGATGTGAAATCTGCGAAATATCTGAATGATAACTTCACCACTTCATAAGATTTAACTCTATGTTGCAAATATCTCAAAATCTTTTATACCATAGTCACAAAAGCGATTTGTGAAGAATTAATCCAACAATAAAAAAAATTTAATCACATCAATACATTTTTCAAACAGTAACTATAAATTGATTTTCACTTTAATTAACAAATTTATTCATATCACTAATTTATGGAAGAAAAAGAAATAGAGAGAGAAAACATGTAAGGGTCCCCCACTTCCTTTGTATCTAGCTCAAAAGCTATTAATGATCTTTTGTAATATGTATATAGAAAAAACACTCCCTATCCTTCTCTCTCTAAACTGCATGGCGTGACAATATTCAATTTGCATTTCAATCTCAATCTCAATATAGGGACCACTTTTTTTTGCTTCTTTTCTTTTTAATATTTAACTCTTAATGTTCTATTACTTATACAAAACAAATATTAAAAGTTTAAAAAAAAAAAAGAAGAAGATAATTTTCAATAGAAATTAAAAAATAAATTGAACACTATTTTTTTCCTTCTTTCCCTTCAACTCTTCTATATATAATAGTGCCTCTTCCTAGTCTCTTCTTCATCCAAATTCCAAACCCTAGACATAAAGCCTTTCCCTTCAATTCTCAAATTTCATCATCATCATCATCACAAACAAGCTTTTGGAGTTTGTTCTTGTTATTGTTTAATTTCCATCATTCACCACAACAAGTTGAAGCTGCCAGCATGATCTTAACTTGCCTCCTTTTGTAGGGGAAAGATCAGATCATGTGGCAGTTTCACCTAGTTGTTGGCTGCATGTTTATACACCTTTCTTTTTTCTTTTCTTTTTTTCTGTTTCTCTTAATTTCCATGCCCTAAAAGATGAGTAATAGATTCATGTTCTTATGCTTGTTTTTTTATTTTTTATTTTTTATTTTTATTTTTTATATTCTGTTAAGTACATGAAGAAATTGAACAACTTGTAAAGTAGATGAAGAAATTGAATAGTTTTCTAAACAGTGCAAATGCATTCATGAACAAGATCTAACTATATCAGTGCTTATTTTTCTTGGTTTTTGTGAAATTATAGGGTTTTTTTCTAACATACTATGAACTCTCTTCTAGTTAAGTTTCTTCTTCAGATTTCCTCTTTTTGTTCAAAGATCTAAAATCAAAATTGTTATGAGCTTAATTGGCTTAATTAATTACTTTTGACACAACTACTAGTATGGTTGAATCTGTTGATTACTGAGGAAATGAAATGAAGCTCATAATGGGACAAAAAACTATTCCATTGATGAAGTCATTGTAGATTCCCAATATCTCAACCTACTTAATTTCCTCATATATCTATCTTTCTAGTGTGTATATATATATATATATATATGACCACTGCAGCTTTTTCAATTTGGACCATTCCTTTATATATATGCATCATGAGACAATCATGTACTTCTGTGTGTACATAATCTGCTCCACTAAAATTGATTTTCCTTAGAAGAATCTCATATGGATAATCAATTGATGTCATCATGATGATGATGATGATGATATATTCAGGTTTCTGACAACAAATACTAGCACTTGAACCACCATATCTTCATAATCAATATATCATATCATATCTGGTTGTTATAGTTGTAGATATCATACATCACAGGTATCGATTTCAACCGTCACATTTAATATTTCAATTTTTAAGATTAACTTTTTTTAATAAAATGATCAAGATTATACAGAAATGACAGTTAAACGAACAACAAACTATGTTTCTGGTGTATAGTCTATTAGCGTAATTTGATTTCCCCGATTCATTATGTGTTTCTGGTGTTACAATAAATCTCAATCTCATAACTAGTACTAGAGTCAAAATGCATTAATGTTAAACAAACATTTTATGAGAAATCAGGTATGAATTGATGAAACCTAACATGACTTTAAACATGAAATAACCTCTTTATTGTTCAGCTAGAGTTCTGGTATATATCTTTAGTTTTAGCTGTGTATTAAATTTGTTAGGACTTGATATCTAAAGACTGGGATTGTGATTATAAGAGGCTTCATAATGTTGATTTTCTTTAGTGTTCTTAGTTCTTTATTTGCAAATTTTTTTCTCAATTCTCTTTCTTCCTTTTCTTGTATTTTTGTGGTGAATAAGTTACTTTCTATTATAGAACATAAGTCTTTTTTAGTTCTCATTGCTTTTAATAACTACTTATTGTCATTATGAAGAGAGAGGCGGAGATTTAATATTTTCAAATCAAAATAAAGTTTTAATTATCATTAAACTAATCAACCATCAATATTAAGTCATCTTTAATTTTATGGGGTCAATATCATCTTTAATTTAAAGTGAATTATATTAATTACATGAAGTCATATAGATTGTTAAATGATCTAGAAATATTATCTCACTTAACTCATAACAACTTACAAAATTTAATATAAAACCATAATTGTGCATCATACATTAGAATTATCAAGTCATCATTTTTAATTGAATTGGACTATTTAGATAATAATAGTAACAAATCATCCATTTATTTGATTTCCTCTGTGTCACAAACAATTCAACAAAAAGAATTTTAAATGATACTATGATTTCTGGCTTTCATGGCTTCGTAAATAGACAAAAATGTTAACCAGCATTTATCCATAGCGGTCATTCTTTTAACATTGTCAAGCAAATGTTTTGATGGGTAAATTTTTGGTTAACAAATCTTTTAGATTATTTTTAAGAAGATGTGGAGAAGAAGAGACGAGCAAATAAATAAAAATAAGAAAATAAAGTGTGACAAGAAAAAAATAAACACATCAATTTTGTCTCGGTTCATCTCAAAACCACGAGAAAATAATAAGAAATTTTTTATATTTATAATTGAACACAACATCTCCTTTTTAAGTAAAATATTTTTAAAAAAATTGAAAACTTTAGAAAGGTTCATTTCGTTATATCCATAATCGATTAAGCTACTGACATAATCAATTCAGACCTAGCAAATAAGAAATGTTTGTTGGATTAGAAACATAATTGATTGCTAATAATTGATTACACAACTTTCACAATTGATAACATGTCAAATTTCGCTTCATAATCAATTGTACAAATTTCTTAATCAATTATACTTGGTTTTACCAAAGATTTGACAGCTTCCAAAGTGATTTCTAGAAGAAAAAAAATGGAGATTTTGAAAAATCATTTTGTAAGTGTATGAGATAATTTTAGTTACTTGAAAAGTCAGACATTTAATCTATAATATAAGAAAACAAAAAGTCTCATTTGACCTTCTCTTTAATTATGCCACCTCAATAAAATGAGGGTAATTTTAGTCTAAAAATTACTTTTTGCAACTAATGATGTCATAATGTTCAATCCCAATTATATGATTGTTGTCTTATATCTTTACTTGCTAGATTTGAATCGGTTGATGATGTTATATTGTTCAAATTCAATTTACTTTCCTTTTTCTATTTTTTGAATGTCAACTTTAATTTAAATTACATTTTTTCATCATTGACTCTCTCTCTCTCTCTCTCTCTCTCTCTCTCTCTCTCTCTCTCTCTCTCTCTCTCTCTCTCTCTCTCTCTCTCTCTCTCTCTCTCTCTCTCTCTCTCTCTCTCTCTCTCTCTCTCTCTCTCTCTCTCTCTCTCCTCTCTCTCTCTCTCCTCTCTCTCTCTCTCTCTCTCTCTCTCTCCCCTCTCTCCACAAAAAAGATGCTTATCATTAAATGCAATATGACCTACTTCATAACACTAGCACTTGTACGTTTCCTCTATTTCTTCACTTCTTTTTTTACTATTAAGTTTTAAGAATAAGAAAAAATGGGAATGGGTTTGAATCTCCTTCTTCATCGTCATTCTCTTTCTTCCTCGTATTTCTTCATCTTTATCGTAGGTAGTTTAAGCTCGTATTCCGAAATGAAATATTCTTCCTTGTCTTTCTTAATCGGAAATCATTTTTCTAAGTATTCTAACGCTTTCATTGATGTATGCATGCTTCATGGTTTGTTGGACTCATTATTCACTTCATTTGATTTTCGGACAGGTCTATTGTGGAGTTAAGTCTTCTCTTTTTCAACCAACTTGAGGTAATATTCTTCCTTTGTATCTTCATTGTGTATGAGTATTATTTGTGCTCTTATATGTTTTTGTGTTTGGGTTTGTCTGAAGTTTGTATTTGTGTTCTTCACCTATTATCTTTTTTTACATCAGATGTTTATTATGCTATTTTCTATAGGTATGTAACTTTATATGCAGTTTAGTTTTAGGGAAGGAAACTGTGCTCTTCTAATTTTATACATGGATCTGAATATTTTATAGTTGATGTTATAAGTGGATTTGATTATGTGGATGTCGGAATATTCGTTGTTTGGGATATGTGGATACAATTTCGCACATGGACGGTGTTCGGCATATCTAAATTTTTTTGAATGCTAATATTTGACTGTTCTATATAAATTTGTGGTATTATTCTTTGATTATATGCACACTTTGTTTTAGAAATGATTTCTCAAACTTTATTTTATCTGCTGTAGTGATCCTTTAGAAAATTCCATGTTGTAGGGTCCTTTAAAAATCTTCAAGAGGAATGGGAGTAGTAGGGTCCACTAAGAATAATTTTGTACTTATTTTTTAAAAATGTTAGACATCTCAAACCCTTGTCTTCATCCACTCAATAAGAATATGGGTCGCCGAAACAGATTCTGAAGAACAATTCCTTTATGGATTTCATGCGTTTCAACAAAGGAATTGATGGTGCCACTGGTGTCTTGCAAACTGTTGTTGTTAGTTATAAGAGGAAATTCCCTCGGTCCCTTTTGAAACCTTTTTTGAATGTTACTTAAAATTTGTGTCTTTCTTTGTTTATCTCAATTGTTTTTTTTAGTTATTTAAATTGGTTTTTTCATGCTCTATGTTGTTGTTTTTGTTGTAGGTTGATTTGATTTCAACAATTCACATAACTGATGAAGAGTATGTATTGTTTATCTTTTATTTTTTATTTTCTTTCATATTTCCTTTTGAATTTGCTGGTTTTCAAGAGAAACTCAGGGTCTGTTTGGATTTTTTTTAATAGGCAAATTCTATTAAAAGAGAGTATAAGGGATACTCTAAACCCGAACAAAACAAAAGAAATTCCTAACTCCGGAATCAAAGGAGCGGAAAAATATTTCATAACGAGAAATTACAATAGACTTCTAATTTACAGAAAACCTTAAGCCAATGCCAAGACCTAAAAACAATCTCCGCGAAGCAATCGTCGAAGTTTAGGTCACCACCCTTGAAGATTATGGTGTTCCGTAACAACCAAATAGACCAATTAGTTGCCAACCAAATTACAACAACCGTAGTCCTTCTAATTCCAGATTTTACCTTCTTAGCATTATAGAAGAACCGCACTAATTCCACCAAAGACAACTCGAGATCACTACCCAACCAACTAAACACCTTCTTCCATATGTTAATCGTAAACGAATAATTACCGAAGAGATACATGATGGATTCACCCTCCGTCCCACAACAGACACGTAAATTGTCTGTTACGATGCCCCTAATAAGTAATAAATCTTTGGTTGGAATCCTATTGAGAATTAAACGTCATTCGGAAAAAGAGATATTAGACAACACCTTTATCTTCTAAAGCTGACAAACAGCCTACAACGTTTCATTATCCAGACGGGGGGTAAAACATTCTCGCTTAACCAACTATAACAAACCTTAACCAAGAAAACTCCATCGACTCCTTCCGTCTACGCGAACTCATCACCACCAGATCTGATCAACAAATTATTCTGCAACAGATTTCTCTCATAAGTACTTATATATAAACAATTTCAATAGTAAAAACTAAAATGATACCAATATGTATTTATGAAATGGAAGCTAGCAGGGAAACTTTAGAAAAAATGAGAAACCCTATAAAAAGGTTAAAGGGATCACACTTTAGGGGTTTTAACATTTTGGGATGCACATTGCAAGCTTTCCAAAATGTCCAAGAACTCCTTGAGATCATTTTTTAGTATGGAGAATCGAAGAGATGAAGTTGGCAATTTCTCACTTTGAACTCAAGCCATTTCATGAAGAACAAAATTCAAATCAGTACCTATGCTGCCTAATCCATGCTTTACAGGTCCCAAACTTGTTTCTTACTCCATAATTTAATGCTTATTCAGTTGACAAATCTTTAATCCAAGCCATAGAGTCTTTATCCAAGTTGTAATTCTATAAATGGCACAAAGTTGCCATTGCCATTTTGGAAAAGGTTCACTTTTGCTACTTTACAAATCTTGAGCATTGGACTTGTCTTCTCTTCACACACAAGTACTACAGATCTAAGGCAACTTGTATAGATCTCATACCAACTCTAAGCAAGCCAGTACAAGCATGTGAAGAGCTTCAAAAGCAAGAAAGTGTGCAAAAAGACTAGGATTGAAAAATATGTTGAAGAGCTGACTTGAAACCTTTTTCATACTAATATACAAACACATTACAACTAGAAACACGATTGAAAGAGGCCTGAAATAAAAACACTCCATATCACCAAAAAACTGTCAAAACTTGCAGTTTTTACATAAGCATAGCAATCCATCATTTGGATCGTGCGTTTCCAGTTTTAATCATCAAAACACTTTACCTACTTCATATCTAAGTGATCCAGACCATCATCCATGCACTGTAACTCCTCCTTCTTCATCTGCCATTTTTGTTTTCAAAGCTTGCAGGTTGACTTGGATAGAGAGTTCCAGGCACTTCCAAAGCAAGGCAAGGATTGGAATACACTCAGGGAGGTTCAAGCAAGCTCAAGCAATCATCAGGCCTTCATAAATCTCACTCAAACTTCATTCACGATTTCAACTGAAAGAGGTAAAAATCTCAACTTCTATCTCTTCATACAGGCATCCATTGGCCACGATTTGTGAATAAACAATGTAGACCTCATTGCTACGAAGTTGTACATATATATAACTTGTATTTATTTGGCCTGAGTTGAGAGAATTTTGAACTTGAAATTCCTGGAAAAATTAGGTTTTAATTTAGGGCTTTTAAAACTCGTTTTGATCTTTGATTGTTAGCTTACATTATTTACAAGGTTGAAATCGTGGGAATGAGTACTACCATTTTCATGTTGGAAGTTTTCATTTTCATGGAGAAATGAGAAAGTTACAGAGCTTCTGGCTGGCTAGAGGAAGAAGACGAAGTACAGGGCCATGGAAGCGTTTCATGTTATGTTGTTTTTGCTTCACATAAATCAATGGATGTATAGCCACTCTAGTGGCAAGGTAGCGCGCTGGTGAGGCCCAGGTCATGGGTTCGAACCTTGGCGTTACCTTTTGTTTTTCATACTTTCCATTTTTTTTCTTCATTTTTTGACTGTTTTGCAGGATTGGGCTTCAACGTTGGGCCTAGCATTTTTTCTAACATAACACCATTTGATTTCTCAGGACACCCCCCTGGCCCAACTATTTTCACATATTTTATTTATTTGTTTTATTTTCATTTTTGTTTATTAAATATTTTCTTTAATACATAAAGATCATAAAAAATATAAATATGATAATATTGCATTTTTTTTTAATTTTTTTTTATTTTTCACATAAAAAATATATTTTATCTTCAATATATACTAACTATATTTCTTAAATAAATTTGTAAAAATAAACTTAGATATATTATTATCTTTTCTTTTATATTCATATGTATACTTGTAAATATTTATTTTAACACTCCAACTATCCAGACAGGGGATAAAACATTCTCGCATAACCAACTATAACAAACCTTAACCAAGAAAACTCCATCGACTCCTTCCGTCTACGCGAACTCATCACCACCAGATCTGATCAACAAATTATTCTGCAACATATTTCTCTCATAAGTACTTATATATAAACAATTTCAATAGTAAAAACTAAAATGATACCAATATGTCTTTATGAAATGGAAGCTAGCAGGGAAACTTTAGAAAAAATGAGAAACCCTATAAAAAGGTTAAAAGGATCACACTTTAGGGGTTTTAACATTTTGGGATGCATTGAAAGACAAATGGCTCAAATTATCACACTTGATTTCCAATTAGACTGTCTCAATTACCAATAGGAAAATTGGCAACATGCGGATCTTGACTATGAGACCTTTCAATTACTCCTGACTTGATAATGAGTAATGATCAATATTTATTTTTCGTTGTTCGAATCTAATTTTTCTTTTTAATTTCAGGATGCAAAAGGTGGAAGTTTCTGTTTTTCTCTTTGATAACCTTTAACATTACTCATTTGGATTCACTTTTCTATGTTTAAGTAGCAGATGTAGTAGATGTAGTAGATGTAGTTCGATGTCTGCTGTCAAAATTTATGAAATGAGCAATCAGGCTCTCATGTGCAGTGCCTGACTCAATTCATGAACTGAGCGGTTTCAAACATGATACAAAAAATAATAACTTATGTTCGTAATTTTCTAAAATGCTTGAAGTTACAAATTGAAATCATGTCTGGTGTCCGACACATGGTGTTCAACATCAACATAAGTGATTACATTGAATTATTTCATTTTTATAAATTATTATCAGTGTTATGTTGTGTTGATGTTTGTGCTTCGTAGAGTCAAGACTTTAATCCTAATATTGGTGTTTACCTTACATTGGCATCTTTAATATCAGTTTAGGAGCATTATCATAATTTCTTCACCCTTATGTGACTCATTTTCTATCTTACAGAAAGAGCATCGATTTTTCAAGAGGAGTGTCGAAGTATAGGGGTGCAACTTCATAATGAGGCACATCGGATTCGATAAATCTGTCTGTTGTTGAGAATGCAGTATATTTATAACAACAATATATTTACACTAGGAAATTTTAGCATATATTTATATTTGTGGCATGTATTATATGATACTCATTCTTTCAATTTAAAGAGTGTTTGTTATGTAATTGTATCATGAGTAAGTTTTATATATATATTGTTGTGAATTCAATGCCAATAACAAAGTATAGAATAAGGGAGGAATAAAGAACAAGGAAGAAGAAGAACACAAGAATTGGTTATAACTGCTATTCTTTACTTTCTCTTAGAAAACAAGATTACAAGTTTACAAGAATAACAAATAACCCTCTCACCCTAAATTAGGATTTGCTGTGATGGCAATGATGAGAGACTAGTATGCTATTTATAATAAAACCTAACATACTAACTAATGGGCTTTTTCCACAAGGCCCATTATACAAGCTAACTTAACAAACAAGCTAACTTAACAAATTAGGGTTTAAACACTAAAACCTAATTCGACAAGCATCCTTCGACAAATACATGCTAGAACCTTCTTCGACTACAGCAAGTACTTCGACCAACTAGAGTTCGATCCAAAATTCCACAAATCTCCACCTTGGACCTAACTCTACAGCATCAAGAGACACTAACTAGCTTTCTTCATGCAGCTTTATCAACTGCATACAGTGGAAAAACTTGCAACTTGGCAATGTTTTGGTGATCATATCAGCAGCATTGTGATCTGTCGAGACCTTCAGCACTTGGACTTCTCCACGCTCGATTACCCCTCTGACGAAATGCAGCCTCACATCTATGTGCTTGGTTCGCTCATGATAGGCTGAGTTCTTCGACAGGTGTATTGCACTTTGACTATCACATTTAACAGTGATACCTTGACCTTGAAGTTTCAGTTCCTTTGCAAAACCTTCAAGCCACAATGCTTCTTTCACAGCTTCAGTTAGGGCAATATATTCTGCTTCAGTAGTTGATAAGGCAACAACCTTTTGAAGAGTTTCTTTCCAACTAATTGCTGTACCAAACATAGTGAAAACATATCCAGAAATAGATTTTCTGGAATCCATACAGCCTGCATAATCAGAGTCAACATAGCCTTCGACAGCTGCTTTACTATCTTCACCCAAGGCTCCACCATAAATTAAGACTCTGTTCAGAGACCCATTTATGTACCTTAGAATCCACTTTAATGCTTGCCAGTGAGCCTTTCCAGGATTCGCCATGTACCTGCTTACAAGACTTACTGCATATGCTATGTCGGGTCTAGTACAGACCATAGCATACATCAAAGAACCAACTATATTAGCATATGGGATGCTATTCATATAGGTTCTTTCGACATCAGTACTGGGACATTGATCAATGCTCAGCTTGAATTGAGGGTTTGTTGGAGTCACAACAGGCTTTGACTTCGACATACCAAACTTGTCAAGAATCTTTCGTAGGTATGCCTCTTGAGATAAGCATAATTTCGACTGCTTTCTATCTCTTCGAATGTCAATTCCAAGAATCCTAGATGCAGCTCCCAGATCCTTCATGTCGAACTCCTTATTTAGTTCAGCCTTCACCCTCATTACATCTTCGACATTGTTGCTTGCTATCAGAATATCATCAACATAGAGCAACAAAATAACAAATGAATTTTCAGGTCGAAATCTGGAGTAAACACAATGGTCGAACTGACTTCTAATGAAACCTATGTGTTCCATGAACTTGTCGAATCTCTTATTCCACTGTCGAGGAGATTGTTTAAGTCCATATAAAGATTTCTTCAGTTTGCACACATAATCTTCTTTCCCCTTTTCGACATACCCTTCAGGTTGCCTCATCAGGATTGTTTCGTCTAAGTCACCATACAAGAACGCAGTCTTCACATCCATTTGTTCCAGTTCAAGGTCGAACTGAGCCACCATGGCAAGCAACATTCGAATGGATCTGTGCTTCACAACAGGGGAAAATACATCATTGAAGTCGACACCTTCTTTCTGAGTGAAACCCCTTGCAACTAATCTTGCCTTGTACCTCTTCGACATTACTCCTTCAATTCCTTCCTTAACTTTGAAAATCCACTTACAGCTGACTAACCTTGCCCCAACAGGTTTCTTGATCAGTTCCCAAGTGTGATTATCATGAAGAGATTTCATCTCATCATGCATGGCCTTTAGCCATTCAGTCTTCATTCGACTCCTTATAGCTTCCTTATAATCTCTAGGTTCTTCGTCTAGAACTTCACTTGCAGAGATTAAGGCATAAGCTACAAGATCTGCATATCCAAGTCTCTGAGGTGGTTTTATGACTCTTCTTTGCCTATCTCTCGACAATAGGTAGTCATCAACAGTTTCCTCAACATCATCAGAATCTTCTGTTTCTTCTTCGACTTCATCTGGGATACGCATTTCAGCATCAACATGCTCCACCTCAACAGGAATCTCTACCTGTTCCAGCTCTTCGTCAACATCATCAGTTTTCTTGAAAGCCATTTCAGTTTCATTGAAAACTACATCTCGACTGGTGATACACCTCCTGTGACCTGGCTCTAGGCACCATAGCCTATAAGCTTTCACTCCTTCAGGGTATCCCATAAACATGCATTTCAGAGCTCTAGGTTCGACTTTGTCTTGCCTAATGTGAGCATAGGCTACACAGCCAAATACTCTTAGTTTGTCGAGATCTGGTGGATGTCCCGACCAAACTTCTTCGGGTGTCTTCATATCTAACGCTGTCGAAGGACATCTGTTTATCAGATATGCTGCTGTCGAAACAGCCTCAGCCCAAAACACCTTCTTTAATCCAGCACTAGTCAACATGCATCTAACTCTCTCCAAAATAGTTCGATTAAACCTTTCAGCCAAACCATTTTGTTATGGAGTACCTGCGGTCGTTCTGTGCCTTGCAATACCAGAGGCAACACAAAAACTGTCGAACGCCTCATTGCAAAACTCAAGGCCATTGTCGGTTCTCAACCTCTTTACCTTTCTGCCAGTTTGATTTTCGACAAGAGTCTTCCAACTTTTGAAATTTTCAAAAGTTTCATCCTTAGTCTTCTGGATGAATACCCATAACTTTCTGGAATAGTCATCTACTATGGATAGAAAATACTTTGCTCCTGAATGTGATGGACACCTTGCAGGCCCCCAAAGGTCAGCATGGATGTAATCAAGGGATCCATGTGTTCTTTGTTTGCCTTTGTTGAACTTCATTCTACAGGACTTTCCAAGTACACAGGGTTCACAAAACTTCAGCTTTTCGACTTTATCTCCACCAAGCAGATTTTGTTTCCCTAATTCGACCAGACCCCTTTCACTGACATGGCCCAATCTCATGTGCCAAAT